AACGGCATAGCTCCAGTCTCTCGTTCAGGTTGAAAGGCGTCAAGCTGTCACTGCACAACAGCTTTGAACTTTGGACTACAAGCGATAACAGCTGCAGTTACACCATGTAACAATGTGTTTCTAACAAAACAAAACAATTGAAGACCTGTGTTCCTAAACATATTTTGTTTTTAACTAACTGTATGTGGTAATGGATGATTTTAAATAATTGTTGAGCAATTTTATGAAGTGAAACAAATGTAATTTGGGTATGAATTTTAATACACATAATAAAGCTGCTACAAGACAGATTTACATAATTATTTTGCATAACATAGTCTGGTTCTTAAAGAAAATTTTATTTTTTTTTTTAAATCCGCCTTTTCAATGACTAGTCTTTACATTACTAAATCTGAAAAGACAAAAGAGTTTAATACCTTCTCTACTACGAGTATGTGCGTCAATCTATGTTCTATTTTTTTTTGTTTGTATTGCCAAGGTTTAGTAACTACTCATTAAAAAAATGTTCAAACATTTTCTATTTTTATTTTAAAAATCTTTACATGGAATGGGCGGGTTTTACATCCCTTTCATTCATTTATTTTAGTTTGACAGTTCGATAAGTTCAATATTTTCAACTACGCAGAATGTTGTTCTGCGTAGTTGAAAATATTGAACTGCAGAGAGAAGGAAAACTTGACACAAACCTTATACCGACCCGTCTGGCCAGCGTGGTATAGTAGGCCACAACCTCCTTTCCAAGGAGAGGCTTATGTCCAGCTGTGGACTATTAACGGCTGTTGATGTGATGTGAATATTTTCAATTGATATTTTTATGGTAGAGAGAGAAAAGGAGAAGACGGGTCACCTGATGGTAGATGACCACCGCCGTCTATCGTTACCTACTACTCAAGCGACATAAGAGCGTCGCTGACCTTAAAGTACACTCCTAGAATTTGAGGGGTTTCGGTAATCTTACTCACTCGTTGAAAACCAACGGAGGTATTGCCTAACACCGGTTTTTGTGAGGTGCGGTCCGGTCCAGTCAGCCCCTTCGGTCGTTACCCCACGTATGTTCCTTCTGATAATGTAGCTTTCTACAGGTGAAATAATTGTTAAAATCGATCTAGTAGTTTAGGTTTGAAATCGTAACAAACAAACAAACCAACTCACTTTCACATTTATAATATATATAAGCATGTATAACATGACTATTAATATTTGCGAGGGTAAAAGTAACCAGTCTTTTGTCCAATCTCTAAGTTTGAACTTGTACATTTCAGTATTTTGATATTCTTATTATTTGTTATTGTACTTACATATAAGTACATTGAAATAGTTTTTTTTTTAAAGATAACGCCCGCATTAGGAACATATTCCTGTGTCGCGGGGACTTAATGGACACAAAGAACAGCCAGACTCAGAACAACAATTTGTGGATCACACAAAGTGTCGTCCCATGTGGGGTTTGAACCCACAACACTCGGTGTAGTAGTAAGCGGCGTGGCGACCACTTAAACCACGCCATCCGTGCAGTCGAATCTTGACTTTCATCCTGACTTAGACATATTTCATAAATGTATTGATTTACTACTTTGGTCATTTTCACTTGATACATAAGTTATTATAAACGGGATATATACTATGTTCAACTGATGGCGACTGATAGTGATCGTGGCGCCTGCAGCAGTGCCTAAATATCGAAAAATAATTCTCGAAAAAAATACTGGTAAATATCATTTAAAATAACTTATGAAATATTTCATAAAGATTTTTTAATAAATATATAGTAGAAAAAAAGATTTTAACACTACGGACAGCAGAACATAACTCTTTAGAAAAAAAGAAAGAAAAAAAGAAACATTTATTTGCACAGAGTACAGGTGGTACCAGATTTTACAAAGGTGTATAATGTTCAAGCTATATTCTGCCTGTACTAGGCATGCATATATTTATAAAGAGACTCAAACATTAACTATTAATAACTATTAATTTAATAATTATTGTTTAATATACCAATGTTCAAGAAAAGAGCGTACTCCTTCCTAAAAGGCCGGCAAGGCGTTTGTGACTCCTGAGTTGCAGACGTTCATGGGCGGCGATGGTCGCTTTCCATCAGGTGACCCGTCTGCACGTCTGCCAACTCCAACATTAAAAAAAAATTCTTCATTATTTACTTTATGATATAATACCTTCGAACTTCCACCTACGCTTCCGAAATGTAGCATTAAAAACACACAAAAGATTATACATTTTACAAAGATAAATACTTCAGTATTTTAAGGTTTAAAAGAATGAGTTTAGAATAGTCTTTTGCGCCATACAAAGCCATCACCACATATAATTACAGTTTTCTCTTATTTATTTTTACATTACTTATTGTTTTTTGGGTTCAAACATTCAACAAACTAATTCAATTTTCTATATACCCGCAGGCTTAACCATTTTAATTGAGTAAGATATAGGTATATTTTTATCTAAGAAAAGTCTAATATTTTATTGTATTATATTCAACAATATTTTTTGTATACTCTGTCCTAATTAGAATCGTCATAACAAGAAGATTGTTTTTATATATTGGTAAAACAACTACAGTAAACAATGACTCACTAACGCAACTTGTAGCATCTTAAATAACTTTGTAAGAGTTAATTAACGTCACTATGTCTGCTGAAAAAACTAATAACACTCGTAGTTATTGCTCAATGAAATTGAGCAGGCGTAATGTAATTTTACGGCAGGTTTTATAATACCAACACAGAGACTATGCGTGGAGTTCAAGTTTACAACGTAACCTGTACTTAGGGAATCAATAGTACATGCATTAAGTTTATTGATTTTTACTTAAGGTAATTGCAACATGAACGTGTAGTTAGGGTAGTTAAGGGGGCGGAATTTATATCTACAATTTATCATTGTATGAAAATTGTACGACACATGTCAGTGTGTAATTACAAACTATTTATTCAAAGATTTATAGTTTAAAATTTAACAATAACTGATTTGAACTAAGCTCTCATGTTATGTTTCATTTGTTAGACTTGTTTGCCCAATGAAAAGTCAATCGATGTATGATGTGATTAGTGTAATGGCTAGTCGGTAATTTAACTTTACTAAACCGTGTATTTTACCGTACTGTACTGTACTTTAAAAACTACGCAGAACATGTGGTTCTGCGTAGTTTTACTCACAAGTACAGTACAGCTGTTAGCACTGCAGAGAGAAGGAAAACTTGACACAAACCCTTTTTTTTTATTTTTACGTGTGGAAATCCCCTCGGACCGTCACCCCACCGGGGTTTGCGGCGGGGTGGTGTGTCCGACTCGGACCGACTAAAACCACACGGTGTGCCACTCTGCGCCTGTAGCTACCGAGTGCAGGTACTTTCCGAAGCAACCGTGCCCGGAAAGCACCTGCGTCAGCCGGAAGGTAAGGGTCCCGTGCTGCCGCCCTGCCCACTCGGCGATGACCGGCTGGAGAGCCTCCACGGCGGCGAAGCCAGCGCGTGGAGCCTCCAGCCGGAACGACCAACGAGCCATCGTGGCTCGGCGAGCGGCTTCGCGTCACTCGCGCACATCTTCGGGCGGAGGGCGAAATCCGCTCTCCGCCCGGAAGTCAGCCACTCGCCGATAAACTTCGGCACTTCCGCCTCCAAATCTCACGGGGGAGTTCCGGCCAACGCGCAAGCCACCTCCGTCGAAACGCTCTGACCGCCAATACCCTCTGAGGGCGCCAAAGGCGTGCCCTATTCTGGGCGGTCAGAGCCGACGCCCACACCGGTGCACCGTATAGTGCCATTGACTGGACAACCCCCGTGTACAGCCGTCTTGTCGCGACGCTGGGTCCACCCAAATTGGGCAAAAGTCGCCCTAGGGCAGACGCAGCGCCGACCAGCTTTGGAGCAAGCTGTAGGAAGTGCTCGTCGAAGAGCCACCTCCCGTCGAGGATCAGGCCCAGATATTTCATCTGGGCCCGAACCGGTACGAGGACCGAGTTGACCACGATTGAGGCGCCAGGGGGTGGACCACGACGGGGCCCATGAAATAAGAGAGCCTCCGTCTTATCTAGGGCCACCCGTAAGCCCAGCGCCTCAATGCGCCCGACCACCAGGGAGACTCCCCTTGTGGCCCGGCGCGCTGCCTCTTGGAAGTTCGCCCCCCGGGCTGTCACCAGAGTGACACACAAACCCTATACCAACCCGTCCGGCTATCGTGCTATAGTAGGCCAAAACCTCCTTTCTAAGGAAAGGCCTATGTCCAGCAGTGGACTATTAAAGGCTGTTGATGAAACCGTGTATTACTAACAGATAATAAACGAAACCCTATGGATGTTTTACAGCCGATAAACCTGTGTAGTGAAATTTGTATAGCATCAGCATTAGACTGCAAAAGGGCTATGCTTCGCCACATTTGGGTCAATACTAAAGCCTCACAAAAAACCGGTTTTAAGCAATTCTTTTGTTGCATTTAACAAGGTGAGTGCAGTTACCCGTGGAAATTCTATAGGAGGAGCACCTCAATTGTACGCAATTGTATCCTAACTGTACGCAAAAAAGATTATCCAGGATACCTACCTAAATATTTTGTTTACAAAGAATAGAAAAACTATTTTTACTTTATGCAAGCATGCAAAAGCTAGTAATCATCATATTTCATTGATATCTTGATCTATATTTTATACTAGCTGAGACCCGCGGTGTTACCCGCGTTTGTTGTTATAACCGCGGGCAACGCTGCCCGCTGCTAGTCTAAAAAAAGTAGCCTAAGTTACTCCTTATGTCATCAGCTATTTGCCAGTGAAAGTCCCGTCGAAATCGGTCCAGCCGTTCCAGAGATTACCCGAAACAAACAGACAGACAGACAGATAGACAGACAGACTAAAATTGAAAAAAATGTTATTTTGGCATATGTACCGTGTAAATATACATATGCATTTAGTAAAAAGCGGTTATTTTAATATTACAAACAGCCAATTTTATTTATTTGTATAGATTACGTCCGAGTATGTATATCTGTAGTTCAATGTTCTATGGCTATGTGAACCTTTGCTACACATTATATAAAGAGGAAACATTAGGTAATTAGGATGTACGCCTGAACTAAGCCTGGCTCGCCAGACTAAGTTAGTTTTATAGTATAGGGGGGGAAAGGGTGGGGGCAAAGGAATAATTGGGTCACCTGATGGTAAGTGACTAAAATCGCTGATGGGCACCTGTAACTAAAAGTCACAAGTGGGTTGCCACCCTTCGAATCCTCCTCATCCCAAAATCAGGTTGACGATGGCTCCGGGAACCTCATTCTTCGTGGTACCACACCAAGCGGTTGAAGTAAGCAGTATTTAGTCATAAGTAAGTACTAATTCTTTTCCATTTCTTGTCCACAGAGGAGGAAGAATGTACAGAGTTGGAACTTGAAGCCCTGTATAGGAGATACTGCGTCAGACTGAAACATGCTTTGTTCGTGTCTGCACTCTGCGTCACACTACTCTGCAGCTTCATACTACTCTGTGCTGTCTGCATACTTCATTCACACGTAAGTTTATAAGAACCACTTTTCAGAAAAAAAATAAAAAAGAACAAAAAACATCGACCAAGTGCGTGCCGGTTGGACGTTAGTGTGGGTGGTGTGATATTTTAGAAGCTCTTTTAAAGAATTGGTAAATGATATTTATTTCTTTAAGTAAGTAAATCTTATCAGATCGGTCGGACTTTACATCTAGAAGGCGCCAGCATTTCCTAAGAACTCACTCTGGGAACAAACGCCGAAGCAAACCACAGAGATGTCTTTCTTAGAATTTCAATTGAGAAATTTAATTAGTATTTGTATTTAATCTAACATGGCCGTGATAACTTTAATTCTCATCCTATTATCTTACACATACATTCTTTTATCATGAGTTTTTCAGATTTTTAACGGTAATATTTAATCTTAAATGAAACAAGCTGTAAAACAACAAAAATTAATAATTCGTATCACTGAATCGAAAAATAGTTCTCTCAGTTCGTCGTGTTTTTCAAACGCCTATAACATGTATTTTCATATATAAAATCGTGTTCTAGAACCCATACGAGTACAAGAGCAGAGTTAAATATTTTTATAATTCTTCAATATTTTTTTAAATTTGTAAGTATTCAGAATATTCAGATTCTATCCACAGTACGTAAAATTTACTCAAAGCTAAGAGAAAAAAGAAAGTCCCAACCAATTTATTTCAATGATTTCTAAAAGACTATTGTTACTGTAATTTTTCACACAAAATAATCTTTGACTTCAAATAATAACGCGATCTTCAGCATTTCTTTTAGCTTTTTATGGTTTGTTATGTAAAGTACGTAAGAAAGTTTAAATATATTTATTTATTTTTAAACTTTTGTTAGCTATTTTACCACAGATGGAATCAAATTCATTAGATAATTATACAAATTTTGTAGAAAGTATCATTAATTATTACTCCAACAACCATCCGCGTATTCTTCTATGCAGTTTATTATGTGTATTATATGTAGTTTTCCAGTGTAAATTAAGGTTTCAGCATACAGAACGAAGCTACATTAATTAAAGTTTAGAAGTGATATAGAGGAGCTCAGCTATCTTCATGTGCCCGACCCGCTTACCTCCGTACATGTAATAAACCTCATAAAGTAAAAGGTCGCCACGTACGATGTTATAAGGCCTTCATCGAATCTCTAAAACCCCTTGATCCACAATCGAGTTATCTTGCACGAGGGACGGCTAATGCTATTGGTCTTGCATGCATTAAGGTAAGTACACTTTAATGATTATGTGACCTATGTGCATTAGGTAATGTCTCAGATGGTGTATACTGTAATTCACTTTGTTATAATACCTAAGTATACCATATATCTCAAGCGATTTCTTTTGTTAGAAGTATATACATTGGTATACACTCACAGTTCTTGAGGGGGAAGACAAATTGTGTACTAAACGCTCATATTTTTCCGACTTTCATTACGTCACATTTACGTAGTAAAGGGGCAAGCTCACCAAACAAAGGAAAATTTAAGTTAAATTTCCTTGAAAAGAAAGGGCCATTGTCGATGAATTGGGAAGTGTAAGTAACAGTTTGAACAGGTTTGCTAACGAGTTAAGTTAACTCTTACCCGAAACTTCAAGCATCTGACCAATTTTACTTCGCACAGTAAACAAACCAGTGACTTGGGCCAACTTAAGTTTTTATAGGGCAACTTTTAAACCTATCTTTCTGAATAAGTTGTAATAATAATTACTTATATAAATATTACCGTGTACTTAACAGGAACGATTATCGAGCACGAGTATATTGCAAAAAATTATATCACAATAAATTGCTTAGCAACCATAATAAAGTGCGGTATTTTTAATTGAGAACCTTACTTAGTGTCCATCTGTGGTCTTTTGTGACGATCTCTACTTCATCACATAGTTTCGACAGCAAAGACACGAGTTACTATGTAAAATATCCAAATTGCTTTAGGTGAGACTTTAAGTAAATATAGTACCAGACAGCCAGATGGTGTAGTGGTTTGTGTAACGGACTGCTATTCCAAAGGTCGCGGGTTCGATTGCCGCTCAAGTCAAACATTTGAGTGCATGAACACTTAATGTTTGATTTGGTCTGGGTGTTTATATGTATAATAAGTATGTATTTACGAAAAAAAAAGTATATATGTATTTATATCAGTTGTCTAGTACCCATAGTACAAGTTCTGCTTAGTTTGGGACTAGATGGCGTTGTGTGAATGTGGTAGAATATTATTATTATATTATAGTACCGTTAATTTCTTTACTTTTCATCAGATCCTGAACTGATGACGATGGGATCAGTTAGACATCATACCCTCTTAAATAAGAGGATAATTAATCTTGTAAAATATTGAACTGAATTGCCCAATTGAAAAGCTTCTTGTTCTTGAAACCAGTTGTAATAATAAACAGGTCTACAAATTATGAATTCATATTTTTTTTAAATATTAAATAAACGTCTAAATAACGTCTACAATTATACCTTCAAGGTAATTAAATTACTAAAAAAATAATTTATCTACGGACTCTACGGTATACTTTTCCGCAAAAAAATTCATTAAATAACCATTTTAATTACGAGAAAACAGTTTTTCCGGATGACTGTTTTCTTGAGTTACCGACTTGATTGCCTATCTCCTGCTTAATTGAGGACAAGGACTAGTTACTTGAATTAAGTAGTAAAAGAAAACAACTGGGCCTCAATTCTGCTATTTATGTTAACGTACAAGCCACTGTCATTCCATTGACACGCTATTGAGATACCATTGACATCGGTCAAAATATCGGTATTCTACTAACATAAATTGAACCTTCAGCATCATTTTTCTACATCACCCGAAGCTCAACTGGCAGAGAATGCTTTGGTCATTAAGTCCGCCTGTGTACAACTTGTGTATTAAGTGAAATAAATTCACAGTGTCAATAGACTGTCGAAAAAGTGACAATGGCTCATCAATGGTGATATTATTAACAATATTGCCATATCTGGAAAAAAATATATATTTCATTTTCTTCCAAATTTAAAATGTACTGTTTACCAAACTATTACAAAGACATCGACGACATTTGTATTAGTGGCAGTTCAGTGACAAGTCACCGTGAAACTATGGCTTTTGGTCTTGCATAGTTCGACAGTCCATCGACAGTCTATTGATACAAAATCAAAATAGAATAGCAGAATTGGGGCCCTGTACGTGTGTTTAGAACTATTTTTAAAAAGAACATGCCTTGCAGTAATCGCATATCATGTGTACCTACCTACCATCTGACGGCGGATTCTGATTAGCTTCCCTGGGTTCCTGTTACATAATTTCGTCCCTTTAAGCGGAATACTACCACAGAAAAGCGAGAGAAAAGACGCTACACATAAAAAAGGAATAGAAAAAAAAAGGATTGTCATTTCTAACTCTTAGTTTAGTAAAAATCAACGCTTTGTTTAAAGAGAACGCGAGTTTTACTAGTTTTATCAGCATCATCATCTTCCTCATCGCCTTTAATAGTCTTCTCCTTAGAAAGGAGGTTTTGTTCCACAACACCACGGTGGCCAGTCAGGTTTGTATAGGTTTTGTTTCAAGTTTTTCTTCTCTTTCCAGTGCTGTTTCTGCGTAGTTTGTTCACTTGTTAGTCGGCTCTTACTACACCCATGGGATAAATAGACTTTGTATTCATAATCCGTCACCACGCTTAATTTAATAGTTTAACACTAGTTATGAAACTAGTGTTAAACTATTAAGTTATTAAATACTATTAAATTATGATGTTTATTAAATTTTGTATTGTAATTAGGTAGGTACTAAATGAATAAATTTTTATTATTATTTATGCACCAAGATGTTAGGATAGGCACTTATGGAATGGCGTATGGATCTAATAGTTAGCGATACTGAATGCTAAGCTACGAGAGAACATGCGTTCGATTCCCCGCCCAGGTCAAATATTGTGTGATGAACACGGTCATTGGTTCTGTGTCTGGGTGTAATTAAAGTATAATATGTATGTATGTAGAAATATAGTAGTTTGTTTACGTTGTTGTGTGCCCGGTTGACGGCAATAAGCTTTCCCATTTAACGTGAGCGGGTCTGAAAGTAAAAAGTTGCCAAAATGCAGTCGTATAAAGCGCTTCTGTCTACCCCTACGGTAATAATAGACGTGAGAATATTTATGTATGTTTTATTCCAAAAAGCAAAATTTCAATCAACTCACTAAAAAACGAAGTGGGAGTCTATGGACGAAAGAAGTTCCGCTTTTTGGTAGACGTTTGCTATAGTGTCGCAATAAAGTCTTGTTAGACAGTTTTCGGTCTTGCTCCCATCCGCTCAGAACCTGTAATGCGCGATAAGGAACTTCGTTCTAAAAGGACCTTAGTATAACGATATTTTATTGTAAACTAGCTGTACCGCACACAGCAAAGCGTAACACATTGTGGTTGGATTGATGAGAAACAGAACTGACGCAAAATATAGACAAAAACAATCTTTGAAGCGAGAACTCAAATTTTGACACAACACACAATGTCGTGTAAATTTTGAGTTCAATCCGTGCAGAACTCTTTTAATTTTTGAGATGGACACAAACCAACTCAACATATAGGTATATTTAGATACCAAAAATGTGAACTCAAATAAAACTAAACTATCACGTATTAAAACGCTTAATGCTGGCGTGTAAATATTTATATTTAAAAAATTTCGCAGTATCACAGACAAGTTTAAAGTGAAAAGGAAATGGGCTATTATAATGCGTCCAGTGACCCGTTTCATAGAATGACCTAAATTTATAGTGGTTTAACGAACCACTAAGCCTTTTTAGTTAAGGAATATTTCGACCGAATTTAAATGATCATGGCCATTAAATAACCACACAGCCATAATCTATAGGAATTGCAAAAGAAGTTATCGTCTGCGCTATTTCCGGATCGATACGACCTTCAAGAAAAGAGCGTGCTCCTTCCAACGCAACGCGCTTGTGACTTCTGAGTTGCAGGCGTTCATGGGCGGCGGTAGTCGTTTTCCATCAGGTGATCAGTCTGCTCTTTTGCTCCACATAAAAAAGAGATTCTGAAACACACTTTTACCGTGGGAGAGCCATGCTTCGGTACAAACGGGCTGTCTCGACGGGAGTGATAGCACGAAAATTTTTTCGTTGCTCTTCACTAAGTTAGGTTACCGTAGCCCAAATCCAACCTCCCCCTGATGCTAGGGAAGGGGAGGACTGGGACTAGGTGTCCGGTAGTCTCTTACCATCAGCGTGTTTGTGCGGAGTGTGCATTTTGGTACAGATACTTGTTGTTTCTCATAATTTAGGTTTGCCAAATTTGGTAAAACGGGCCGTATACATATAACATTTCAAGGTGCTGTGATGCTCTGCCTGGTTTGGGATCGGACGGTCGTTTGTGGGATGAGTGAGGTTGTTGTTATTGTTAATGTAAAACATATTCATTACTATACATGTTTTGGACAACGAATGGCTATACTATTGAATTAGGTACATAACTTGTAAAAATAGTTGTATTGTCTGTCATAAATAAATAAATAAAAAACATACTAGTCGTTACCTGCGACGCTTCGTTGTAACGTAATCAGTGGCTGTGACACATTGAAGTGACATTTATGATAGATGAGTTACTAAACTGACGGGCAAAATAAATAAAAACAATCCTTTTCGTGTCAAAATTTGAGCTCAATCGGTGCTAAACTTTTTGAGTTATGAGATGAGTATGATGAGTAAATTAAGTCGAGTTTTCGAGTTTTTCTGATTTTTACCTAGAAATATTCAGAAAAAAAAAAACAGTCTAACCTACGTTTTTAATATAGTATCGGAGATAATTTTGTGCAAAGCAATATAAGTTATTGAAGCTAACACATTAACAGCCTTTAACAGTCCACTGCTGGACATAAGCCTCTCCTTAGAAAAGAGGTTTTAGCCTACTATACCACGCTGGCCAGACGGGTTGGTATAGGGTTTGTGTCAAGTTTTCCTTCTCTCTGTAGTGCTGTTGTTCTGCGTAGTTTTTTCCCTTAGTCGGCTCTTACGACACCTACGGGATGAATAGGGGTGGTGACACTCTGTATTCTTAATCCGTCACCCAAAGCTTTGAAGCTAACACAACACAACTTAACATTTGTATGAATATAGATCTAAAAAATATGCTACCGAAAAAAAACTGGACTGAGCTAAAAATGTTGTATCTTCACTTACTGTAAAATAATCGGTTCCTCATCACCTTTAAGTCACTTTTTCTATTTATAAACTATGTAGAAAAACATTTCTCACATTTTCTATCACATTGTTACAGGAACTTAATACCCAAACCGAAGCCATCGCATCCCTATCGGTGATCACCTTCGTGCTGTCAATAGTGTTGTGCCTCGCGTTATTGCCGATCGCACCAGAGTGGGAAGCACTTGCTTTGGCTGGATCTCTACTGGTTACTTTGAGCCTTGGAGCTGGGACGCTCCTGGCTGCACACCATGCGAGACATCATGCGCCTCTACCATTATTCGCACTTATACTGGTAAGTACTGACTCGAAGTACAAGTTTAGCTATGGGGATTGTGATACAATCTCACTAAATTTTTTCACGAGTTATTAAAAGGATGAAGTAGGCCTGCTATGAGCGACCATGTCTCTGTGCCACAAGTCATCACTAACACACACAGGTCAAAAACTTTCGTCTTGAGTTTTAACAATATTGTTACGAACGGGGTATATAAATAAATAAAAGTTGTCGGCTAATTACTTTATTGCACTGTATTTACAAACACTCACTATATAACTCGTTAGTCGCACTAGAAACTCACTCCGATGTTAATTCGCTGTGTCGTAAAATGATACTGTCGGCCAACACGCTCCGCTTTTATAGCGCTTTTGAATTTTACTAGAAAGATCCCTAGTATTCGATAGTCCGTTCCAGGCAACAAGAATATTCCAGAATCAGCCACGAGTTACTTGCAGCGCCATTTAGCGCTGTAAGGATCAGAACTATTCGTATTAACCACAATCTTAATAGATGTACTTTAGTCGATACTAGATGGCGCTGTCCTCCACATTCCATACAATCGAACCATTTAATCCTATTGCGCAACAATATTATCGTTATTTAGATGATGATGCTAACCCTATTCCAAAGATAACTTTATACTATATTTGAGCCTACAATACAATTGCGCAGTGGTTTTTCATCATCATCAAGTGGTTTTTAAATCCGCTAAATTGAATTTCATTACTTTAGCTGCTTGCGATAAAATTGCTAGATTGGCAAGTGGCTAATTGAAAAATTTTACACAGAAAAGGAGGCTCCGAGACTATTTTTCTTAAAGCAGTAACGCCAAAATGAACTTGAGTATCATTAAACGTAGTCGACTCCACTCCCTGCTATAAAACGGAGGTTGGCTATCAAACTTTATTAGTTGAAGAGCTTTTAAACTTCTGTCTTGAGAGTTACTTACATTTTTGATAATATTACTTTTGTTTTTTTTAGTATGTCTTGTGCCACTATGATATTCTATAGATAGATAAAAAAACATTTACAAACTGAGTGTGTTGGTTTTCGCTATGAAAAATTGTCTATGTTACTCGTTCATACTGTAGGTTTCCATTGGTGAAAGAATTTTTTGAATCGGTTTAGTGGTTCAGGCGTGAAAGCGTGACAAACAAACAAACTCACTTTCATTATATTATTTTCATTAGATATTACACATTTATATACTATTTTCATAAATAAATGTAGAATACGATTCCAAAGAAAAAATAATAAATAAACTGTCAGTTTTCCACTGTTTCACCACAGCGCCTACAGTTCGGCTGTACTCTATCTCAAGACTATGGCGATATACGTGGAAATAAAAGCATGATACAGAAAAACTATATTGTACTAGGTTTCGCCCGCGGCTCCGCCCGCACGTATGTCGGTTATCGCGGTTAAAAGTAGCCCATGTTACTCGCTGATAATGTAGCTTTCTATAAGTGAAATAATTTTAAAAATGGGTTTAGCGGTTTAGACTAAATCGAGTAATCGATAAATTTGTTTATATTTTGGTTTGTGTATACTTTACCTTGGTTATATATTTTTTATGGCATAGGGGGCAAATAAGCAGACAGGTCACCTGATGGTAAGTGACTACCACCGCCCATGAACACCTGTAACTCAAGAGACACAAGTACTCCTTTGAGGGGGTTAGGCCTCCAGCCTAGACTTCAATAGTAGGATAAAGTCTATTATATACTGTTGTGCTTATTTCAAATCGATTTACATCTTAAAACCATTGCAATACTGCTAGAAAAATCACTATGCTCTGAATTTTTAGTTAAAGTTCAATTGTTTCGTTTAACAGGGTGGCAAAAAGTAATGTCGACGGTAAACATTACTTTTTGCCACCCTATTAAACGAAACAATTGAACTTTGTAGATGTATCGATGATAATTTGTATCAAAAGTTATCCTTTGAAGTATAGTAAGTATATTTAATATTTCCTTTACGATACATCTAAATATGATAAAAAAAAGCCGGCAACTTGTGACTTTTGAGTTGCAGACATTCCTTGGCGGCGATGGTCACTTTCCACTGGTGACCCGTCTGCTCGTCTGCACCCTCTAACAAAAAAAAATAGACTTTAGCAAGGCTTTTTCTTGTTATGTTGTACAGTAATAAGTAAGAAAAGATTTGCATGCTTATATTGTGAATGTCAAAGTGAGATTGTTTGTTACGCTATCACGCCTTAACTACTAAACCGATTTAAAAAATACTAAGCTACATTGTCAGCCAGTAACAAAGGCTGCTTTTTGCTACGATAGCCGAACATACACGCGGGCAGAGCTGCGGGCAAAAGCTATTATTTGCATAAATAAAAGTGATGTTATAAAATATATGTTAGCACTAACTCAATATGTCCAAACAAATTACCGAGTGTACACCATAGGACCAAATTGTTGTTTTAATTTAAAATAATACCGCGTACCGTATTTTGTTCAGATATTGGGGCCTTTTTCATTAATCTTCATCGCACGTTGTGGTTCGCCTTGGACCTCAACTAATCTCTATTCGTGTCAACGCATAATTTATTAAAATTCAATACATAAGCTCTTTGGTGTAAATACAACTTTTATTAAAAACTTTTTTAATGCGACCATGATACCAAGTGACATCTTGGCAGACGGTATAATAATCAGAGATGATTCGAAATTCAAACTAAAAACACAGTACTATATTGGGTAATAGGCTAACATATGATTACTCTATTCATAAACTATTATAAAGGTTATCTATCTCCTAATTTTATAGCTATGCTAAAATATACCTTTTTTTCTGTGCGGAAATCGGATACCACTTACCGGTGGCAATGTCGGACTCGAACCGACTAAAACCGCACGCCGTCTCAGGTACCAGTAGTCGGGGAACCAGGTGTACCCTAGAAAGAAAATCTCTGGTGCCCCTACGTACCTAGGGCCATCTACGGCAAGTAGTGAGATCTGTGTGGGAGCCCCCATGTTCCCTCTGTGCTCCAACGCGGTCGCCGCCACCCCGGCCTGCATCTGCTAGGGTGACAGATTTCCTCACCTGTCACCCCCGCTAAAATAGACCTCAGACTAATCTAATGGAGCATAAAAAGGGCATACCTTCCTCATGGTTTTCATATAAAAATCCGTGTGTCATCTGTTTTATCTATTTACTTGTCCATTTAAAAATGATTAAAGCATGTCACGCAAAGCAGAATTAGGTGACCTTAATAATCAGTTGTTCTGTCAAGGCTGTTTAGGTCAAGGCCTGGAGGTAATTCTTATAAATTTATTCAAGTAATTAAGAGGACTGGACATTACAAAGAATTTAATTAAACCCTTTAAGGGTTGATTTCCCTAAACAAGTCTGTCCTACTTTGATGAACCTTTTAAAGTTATGAAATAAACTTTTATTACATTAGGAGAAGAGTGAAATATGGTAATCAGTACAATTATGCAGATGCACAGTAGCTGTTAGGAAAATAATATAAATAATGCTAAGGAACCTTCCCTCAGTGAAGTTATAAAAGGGCGTAAGTTATTATTAGCAGTTTTGACATTTTGATACAATTGCATGAGGAAAAATCGCCGACTTCGATTCGACCAGTCAGAAAAAAAAATCTAACCCAGAAGTATCCCATTTTTATAAAACTGACACTGTCCACGCAACATAAGTAAGTTTTACTACTTTTGTATGACTGACGATTCGTGACGTAAAACTAATTCGTGAGATTTTCAGTTTCAGCTAAGATTGAATTAATAGCTCAACATTCTATAATAATTGTTACTACAACAGTTCAGTCTTCATCTTAAGAACTGCCATAAAAACTGTTCCACCTGCAGTGGAACAATTTCTTATTTGCATAAGACATTTTTAACTTACGCATTGTTAGAATTTCACTAACGCTGTTTTCTTTGGTGGTTTTGTTTGTCGAATGACTGAATTGGCTCTTTTGCGTGTTTGAGGCGGCATACTGCACAAAGCGACTAGTTCTTTCTTTCCTTCATTAACAAAATCGGATTAGATTATTAAGCTTCAAGTATCTTTTATATAAATAACGTATCAAGAACTTACTATCTTAATAAAAGCAGGATTCTTGGAAAGTATTATTTACATATTACTAAGCATTAATAAAAGTTGTGGAACCTAACATTTGCAATAAAAAGGGTCGGATGCAGGCTGTCCCACACGTCGGCTACTCAAGCGGTCGCCAGACGCAATCATGAGCCGATGCAATTTATCTAACAACAGGCCTGAGAGAAAAAGAACGCTCCGTTCGTTCGAAATTCAATTTGCCATGCAGGCCACTCTACTACAAAGGTACTACATACACTATATTTGGTTTTGGCTATAAATTGAATTATTTAAAAAACCTGCTTAAAATTATGGATAAACTAATAAACACTTTTCGAGTCCGTGTAGTGACGGATTAAGAATACGGAATGTCACTACTCCAATTCATTCCGTGGGTGTCGTAAGAGCCGACTAAGGGCGCAAAACAACGCAAGACACCAGCACTTCAAAAAGAAGGAAAACTTGACACAAACCCTATACCAACCCGTCTGGCCAGCCAAAACCTCCTTTCTAAGGAGAGGCCCATGGCCAGCAGTGGACTATTAAAAGCTGTTGATGTATAAATACTTTTTATGGAAGTGCCTACCGCTGACTTTGGACACTCACTCACTGAAAAATAGCTTAAAAAGGGATTGTAGTGAAACTCCGTGAAAACGGCTACGTTTAGCTATACGCTTAGCTTCAACTTATATTGGTCTATGAAATAATAAAAAGACATTAATAAAATTGTCGAAATTGGTCTGTTGGGAGATCTCTAGCTATATTTATTGTTATACAGATACATTTACACTGACGCCTATATCTCCGAAGGGCGTAATATACGCCCGCATTCTGTCAACTGTAATGTTAGTACCCTAAATTGAAGAGACGAAACCTCTTGCAGTCAACTGGTGTACTTTAATAATTAGATCAGAAAATTTGGAAGATATTAGAAAGGAAAATATTTGTAGGATAGCGATATTACTTATTCGGGTGTTTTGTTGTAAAAATAGTCTGCCTGTCTTCTTCGGTAGACTCTTTCTGGTAAGTTAACAACTCGTATACTAAAAACAGAATTTGCCTTTAAACGACAATGATATGAAACATTGACAAAACATTACATTCAAGAAGTTTGAATCAAATAACATGTTACATATTTTACATTTTACTTCTTTATTGGACAGAGAATCACAACGCAGTTTCTTAGAATACGCATAACTGTTTTGAAATTGGAACCGTATGACTGTCTCTTTAAACTAAACCTCAGTTTGAAGGCACTATACTATCGTAGTTATTCTATCGTCGTTTCCTCCTTATTTATCGTAAAAGATCTGCGTAAAAGATCTATATTCTGATGATAACTAACGATTGACATCAGTGATGTAGATATAAAACTTATGGGCGCCACCAAATGTTTGCCATAAGCTCGCCTAGTTGTTCATTTACATATATAATCGCGTTCCTGAAAAATGGATGCTTTTACCATGAGTTTCGTCTAACAACAACTTGGTCTTACATTTTGTCAATTTAACCTTTGCATATTGGAAATACCGTTAGTATGAAATCCAATTTCCTCCGATTTGGCAAACGCTTATATCAATATCGTCATTATACGTAACAGCCGTGGATTTTCGTGAATTTTATTACTGTATTTTTATTTTCTGGTCTGGTACATTTTGATGCCTACGATTTCTTTGATTTAAAATTATATTATTATATACATATTGTATTGTATACACACTATTTAACTTTATTTATTTATTGAGACTTCCTACAAACATAGGCGAACTTAATACCACAGGCATTTCCTTCCAGTCAAACCTTTGGGTGTTGCAAAGCTGTGTGGGGCAGTGGTATTAAATTATATTTGTTTTCTTAAGTAACTTTTGACTAGTTTTAGTAGTGTCATCAATAATATTAATACAATAAAAAAATCTCTTATAAATACATTGTCATCAATGATTTAATAAAGGACTGTGTAATTTCAAACTCTGTGCCTTTTATTAGAAAAAAAATTAAATCCTTCCGAGTCTGTCCGATTGTTCAATCTGGTTCAATCTTACTGATTTGTTTTTATTATGCAAAGTACTGATGAACACATCGGTCATCACGAATTCGAGATTAGATAACGTTCACTTTAATTAATTTATATTCAAATGCGATTTCATTTTGTGAATATCTTATGTTATTTTAGCTTTCTTACCCAATATCTTTGGTTCTAATTGAGAAATAGGGTTCACTTGCTAGTGTTGCGGACCGCCCGTGGACATATACACACACATACACACACACAAAGGTGAATAACTTTGAATTTAAGTAGATGGTGAAAGCCGATCCGAGTTAAACTACCCAGCGATTACCTACAGTATTGACTCATTAGCATCAAATCAATAAGATAAAAAGATATGAAAAATGGATGCCTTATGATTTCACTGATCTGCAGAAAGAAATGCGTGTTGAAACTTGTGTTGATTTGTTGAATCGGTACAGAAATGCAGGAATATTGGATTGAATTGTGACATGTGACGAAAAATGCATTGTTTACGAAGCGAAAAATACAATGGCTGACCCCAGCTCAAACGCCGCGACAATACTATAAAGCAAACCTTACCAATAAAAGGTAATGCTAAATGTTTGGTGGTCTCTTTATATTGTTATTCACTAAAGCTTTCTCAGGTCTGGTCATGGAACAACAGCATATGTTTACTCTGCCAAACTTCGAACAATAATTTCGAAACTGGCAGTGAAACAGCCCCGACTTGTGAATCAATCTTCACCATTATTGCTCCACGATAACGCAAGACCTTACACTGCACGAGAAACCGTTGTAACTCTTTAGGAGCTGCAGTTAAAAACTATACGTCATACCGCGTACACACAGCCCTTGCTCCAATAAACTACCGTTTTTTTCGTGATTTAGTCAATTTTCAACGTGATAAAAGGCGGTATCGACCTAAGTGGCGTGCAATGGGAGAGGCCTATGTCCAGCAGTGGACTGCGATAGGCTGATGATGATGATGATGATGATGAAAAAATAAACCTTCTCAACTGGCAGTACAAAATGCTTTTACCCAGTTTGTCAAATCTAGATCCCGAGAGTTCTATCGTAAAGGCATAAATGAACTTCCGTTTAAATGGCAGCAATGTATAGTTAATGCGGGTAAATATTTTAATTAAATAAATATGTCATTTCTTAGAAAAAAACGAGTTTGAAATTTTCAGTACAAATCGGTAATTTCATACTTTAACCACTAATGTATGCCTTCAGTCTACTAAATACTGCCTTCACTAGTTTACAATAGAAATATTATAATAATAAACACATTTAAGGAAGAGCTTTTTTATTTAAGCGTTTGCTTACTCTAACCGATTTAATTAGAATAAAGCCAGGTACTAACATTCAACTTAAACTTAACTCCTAAAGGCTCTAATCTAATAGAATTACGTCCCCAAGACTGAACATTATTTGCAAGACTTTCAAGAACGGTTTTCAAATAAATTGAGGAGGGTCAATAAAAATAATTGAAACAGCACAATGCGAACAGTTAAAATTAATTTTCTTTAATTTCAGTTGTCGCTAAGTTCTGTGGGTGGCACACGTCTCGGGTATAAATAAAAACTTTTACCCGTTAATAAAATAAAAGTCTGATTACTTTCTTTGTGTTAAGGAATTAACAGATGCGCTTATGATTAAAATTGAGACTTTCTTTTTAGAGTTAAAATAAATATAGAAGAAATAACTTTGTAAAAATAACTTTTTTTCTGGATTTCCTTTTGTACCGCAAACAACTTTTAAATTCAATCACGTGATACCTCCTTCTGTAGGATTACTAGATATTTTTGACCCTTAAAAAAGAGCAAGAACACACGCACACAGAGTTTCGGAAAGAAGGTTTGACTTATAAACGCGTTTCCTCTTTTGGTAGAATGATCAGAGAATCTGATCCCCTACTGGTATTGGTCACGTGGATACTTTTTGATACCGGTCATTATAACCCGTTGCTATATTCTTCAACGATAACTTATTGGGGTTTCGCCAATCTCACTGTTATGTACAAAAATTATCTTTACACAAATACAAATTTTAATTATTGAACATTTTAACACATTCAACAATTTTAATATTAATAGTTGAAAAAAAGAATGCGGCAAATACAGATTAATTCATACTGACGATACAACTGATGATATAAATTTAACCACAGTTCATTAAATTTTGAATGCTTTATCATTAACCTTTTGTAACTATAAGAAAACTGGCAACGCGTTTATTACTCCTTAGTTGCAGACGTTCATGGGCGGCGATGGTCACTTTCCATCAGATTACCCGTCTGCTCGTCTGCCACCTCTAACGAAAAAAAAACTATTTATACTATTTGACGATTTCTGTATTTCTTTAGATATAACAACAACAAAATTTATTTTACTTCTTTCTTTCTTTCATATGCGGACTTAATGTCATGTCTCTCCTAATCGACATTCAGTTTATGTAGAAATATGGTGCAAAGATAAAATATTGAATTTGACATAGTTCATAATAATTTGGTAATTAATGAATAAACCCAAATTAGATATAAATAATATACATAACTTCACGTCACATATTTTTTTAGCTTTATACAGATCTTTTACGTATAAGCTATGTGTGTGTGTGTGTATTTGTTCGAAATATCACATTTCCTTTGCGAAATTTACTTAAAAGTGGCACTAAAAACTCTGCATATAAGTATTAGTGCTGTGTAGAAGATTCCCTTAACATTTTATTTGTGTATAGCCAAGTGTTTAAGTAACTTTTCTTTTGCAGATGGTACACACAATGATGCCTATTGCGCGGACCATATCTCTAGGCATGGCCGCCGTGCTAACGGTGTCATACACGGGCCTGGCTCTCGGCGCTAGACGCGACGACGGTTTAGACACAAATTTTTATCAACAGGTAAAGAAATACATGATATTTTATAATGTGTAGAACGTCATATATGTTATTCGTGCCATGATTCGGCACATATGGGCCAGGCTCGACCGGAGTGAAGCCACGGCCTCACAGAAAACCGGTGTTAAGCCTCCCCCTGTCTCTTGAGTTCCAGATGTCCATCTACGGAGGTAGTCACTTGCATGAGGTGACCGTTTGCATGTTTGCCTGCTTATACCATAAAAATAATGTTACTTTAGGAGTTACCAAAGAGATTGGGTAAAACTGATTACACGTAGTTGTTATTTCTAGTGACATCACATCACATCAACAGCCTTCATCAATAGTCCACTGCTGGACATAGGCCTCTCCTTATAAAGGAGGTTTTGGCCTACTATTCCACGCTGGCCTGATGGATTGGTTTAGGGTTTGTGTCAAGTTTTCGTTCTCTTTGCAGTGCTGCAGAGTTTGCTCCCTTAGTCGGCTCTTACAACACCCACGGTATGAATAGAGGTGGTGACACTCCGTATGCTTAATCCGTCACCACACGGAAATTAATTACACACAAAAATTAATTACACGAATTATTTCTAGTCAGCTTACATTAATAATAAAGTCTGTGTTAAGCAAAAATAGTTAGTCTCTTGGGTTAGAGGAGAGAAATAATTGTGTGAAAAGAAAAGTTATACCATCATCTTAATAATTAAGTACTGACTCTGTAGTGAAGTTTAAAAAGATTTGTTCAAGTAATGTTGACTACTCACAGACAACAGGATTAGAACAATGTTTGTAATATAATAGTATCAGTACCTTTTTTTTTTGTTTTTTTTTTTTCCCGTTCGGAAATCCCCTCGGATACCACCTGTCGGTGGCATGTCGGACTCGAACCGACTAAAACCGCACGCCGTCTCGGGTACTAATAGCCGGGGAACCAGGTATACCCTAGAAAGGAAGTCCCTGGTGCCCCGACATACCTCGGGTCATCTACAGACGAGTAGACGATCCCCCCCTCCCCCCCGTGTGGAAACTCATGTTCCCTGTGCTCCATGGAGTATCAGTACCATGATGATTGAGCTTTGCTCGGTATTTTTTTAGGTAAATTTTCTAAAAATAAAACTAAGCTAGATCGATATTCGCCTCCGAAGCCCCCTGCATACTTAATTTCAGTCGTTGGTGCCGTTTCTGAGGTTCAGATTATATATTTATACAAGAATTGCTCATTTAAAGGTATTAGACAGATAGATGTACTCTGACAAAATATGTTTTTTTATTGAGTTAACGATTAACACCAGAGACAATTCTAGACAAGATGAAAAATATAGTTTTGAATACAATACATCGCATTAAAGTCAATTATTCTTTTTTATTAATAGTTAATGCTGGTTGATTTATCGGAATTTTCTGACTTACCTTCAACATACAACGTGTCTAAACTCATATCGACCGCCATTGTAGTCGTGGCTAATGACATTGCGGTAATTATCACAGGTTTGACGTTCCATCGTATTCGTTCAATAGATTAGTGTATGGAACGGAATGAAGTCACCATTATAAAAATCGTAAAAGAAAAACGTACGTTTTCTCCACTAGGTATTTAGTTTCTATCCCCATTAAGGGTTGTTTTTATATGACATTAACGACGCACCGGGTTGTTGCTTCGTACGGGTGTAAATACATCATTTTAAGGATCTCTTACGGGTTAAAACGGGTAAACCATCGGTTTATTCTTCAGAGTTTTGGTTTCAAAATATTATCTTGTTATAAACTTTACAAGAAAAATTAACTTACTGACCATGAAAACCGCATCAAAATCTGTTGCATAGTTCAGGAGGATATACAAATAGACAGATTTACATATTATTTGTTTCACAGTGTTTCAGATAAATAATTGGTATCGTCAACTTCCATCCCTTTTCCATATTTCTTTCTAGATATCACCGCAATGTTAATTGTAATAGGTTTTTAATGTTTTCTTTAATAGTTTTTGTTATTGTAAGTCTTTTAAATATTATATTTACATGGCATTTAAGCATCGCAGAATAAGTGTATTTAAGAAATATAGTTAAAAAATATATATCGGATTACATCTAAATCAGTTTCCTCTTAATACTTGCAATGAAAAACTTTATTTATTCCTACAGAATTTCAATTTACAAAAGGTACTAGGTATCTCCTATTGTCTCATTCGTCTATTCATTTCACTGCAGCGTGTTACCGAGGTAACAGGTTCCTTTTATAGCCAACGTTGAAAGCGCCTGACAGTTTGAGATAAGCAACAATTCTAGGTTTGCAAATTATCCGAATGGTCCATAACTTTATTGCAGGCGTTTCTTATTTTATTAATTTGTTTCCTTGTCCTATATCATCATGTAATACTAGATTTGTTTAGGCGTTTTTTATATATCTACTAGAAAGTCTAATCTAATTATAAAATTATTTGGTTGATAAATAATTTCATAATTAGATTAGACATATACAGTACATGTACTGGGTAAAGGTACTGGTCAAGCTATAGCTTTCCAGTAGTATACTATTATACTTGTTTCGGAGTATGGGTGTTTTCTATGTATTATATGTATGTATTTACAAAAAAAAAGTATCTAAGTATTCTATCAGTCAATTTAGCTTTTATAGTACAAGCTCTGATTAGTTTGAAAATAGACGGCGTTGTGTGTCCGAAAATATTGTTATTATTATACTCCGTCTACTAAAATTTCAATTACTTATTAAAACTTTCATTTCTAAATACTCCAAGGTCACTGTTTATTTTGATTGAATTACTTTCACGATGTAAACCAACCAAACGATTTTGGTGAAGATGTTAAGGTGTAAGAAATGTAAGCAAAATACAGTTTTTGTTGAGAATATATGAGAATTGTCTTTAACAGATCTCGAAGACTTGAAAAATCCTTTTCAGAAAATTATAACTTCTATTGATAAAGTTTAGTCTAGAATTGAACAAAAGGAATGTCTTTGTGTATACATATTTAAAACTAGCCGACCCGCGCAACTTCGTCTGCGTCTCTCAATAGTAATAAATTTTCTCCGTTTTTGAAACATTCTTCATTGGTGCTCCGCTCCTATTGGTCTTAGCGTGATGATATATAGCCTATAGCCTTCCTCGATAAATGGGCTATCTAACACTGAAAGAATTTTTCAAATCGGACCAGTAGTTCCTGAGATTAGCGCGTTCAAACAAACAAACAAACAAACAAACAAACAAACAAACTCTTCAGCTTTATAATATTAGTATAGATATAAGGTAATATTAGCAACTTGTAAATGGCTATTTGTAATAAGTGGAATAAATAATTAGAAAAACATTTCAAATTATGGCATTCAAAATTTGACAAAAAAGATTACTTTTATAATTTAGTTTTTCAATAGTAAAAATATAATCCTTATTACATCAGTACCCTTGTGAAGTCCCATGGACTTAGAATCATGAAATTAGTCAATAAGGATTCTACAAGCACAAAGAAAATACATTCAAAAGTTGTTAATTTGCGTTATATTACATAACAAGGTTCTATGCAATTACAAACTTATATTTTAAGGTTAGAAATTAGCATTTGGAAAGGAAAACATTTTTGGAACAGTAAACTGAAGTTTGTCAGTCGGAAAAATGATATGCTTTGAAATCGTTCAGTCAGTTTCGAATGTGTGCCGTATAATCTGTATAAGCCTAAAGGATCTAATTAAACCATTGTATACTTGGCTTTTAAGCTTTTAATAGTCCACTGCTGGACATAGGCCTCTCCTTAGAAAGAAGGTTTAAATAATATCTTATTTTCAAAAATATATTCTTTTATCCATTTTTATTTATATTCATTCATTCATTAAAAAATATTTTATGTAAGGTAATTATAATAAGGCCTTTGTGACATGTTTATCTTTAAGAGAATTTTATGACATGAAAGTATGTTACATTACGAAGCCTCCGGCACGAGGTTCGTGAGTCGCATACAAACGTTTATTATCATGTAGCAAGCCGCCATATTTTTTTAATGAATGCCTTCTTTTTTCCCAATACCACTTCCGAACGTCGAAATGAAAAAAAAACATATGTAAATTGAATTTAAGTTTTATTTATTTATGATAACTTGCACAGGCACGCTGCGGATTTAATGCTCAGGGTGTTCTGTCCCGGTCTACCTTCGAGTGATGTAGAAATATGATGCGGTAGGATCAGAGACAAAATTTTACTTTGACATTACCTAACTTTAACCTAACTTAGGTATAATATACAGAAATAAATTGCTACATTCATTACTTAGCTTATATTTCGCTGTTACACGTTAGGTTGATGATTACTTTAAATAGTCCACAACTTTCTTCTATGAACTGCACATTATTTTATCTTTTGATCTCCCATTCTTTCAACAAGGTTATAAATAAAATCTATTATACAAAATGCTTTTCATAACAAGGTAATTATTAAAAATAAACATAGTACCCCATCATCCTTTATAATCAGAGAAAGCGGATACCTTCATAAACAAGCTACAAAACCCGATGCTTTAGGTAAGAACTTAATAATGTTTAATTCTATAATAAAGGCACTGGTGACTCCCGCTCAGGGTCGTTCCTGGTACTGAGATTGGCCGTGACCATTCAGCGTGGAAACGCAGCTAGCGTTATGGGGACCTTTGCGCCGGGAGCGACCAGGGGTGGGTTATTTAATATATAGAGAATTTTAGTTAGAATACAATTGTTATTGTTGCCTAAGATTGCGAATAAATAATAAACAATTTTCTATTTCAAAAAAAATAATCTAATCTAAAAATAATATGCGCAATGTGTATCTAATAGAATCTGATGAAATTCCAGTTAATAAAGGAGATGTCCACTTTTTGTATGGACGTTGGTTTTTCATTCAGAGTGAATTCCATTATTGCTCAAATTACACTGATATATACGTATAACATAGGTACTTAAAATTTATAAAAAGGCGACTTTAATTTTTATAATTTTCGTATATTTGGTACTCTCTTAATTAAAAAGAATATAACGCAACCTCTTAAGCCAAATGCATCAAGCCGTTTAGATACAAGGCTTATCAAAGAAATATACATACCTACACAATTATAATTGAAAAACATAATCGTACTTCTGGCGCAGTCGGTTAATTATAAGATAACAAATGATAACTCAGAAATAAATATTTTTAATAATAATAAATAAATATTAACTCGTATATGAAAAGCAAAGGTAACTAAGGATAAAAAATAATTTGTTGTCGCTACTAAAATTCTGAAAGACATAATTTGTCACTATTTTTCGTATTCGTCATGAACTTCTTTCATTAATATGTTGATGTAAGAAAGATTTGGTATTTTAATTAGCGGTTCTATTCTTCGTAAGTCTTGCGTTTTGCTACTACTGCTGCTGGTACGTTATTTCGGTTTTATGGCTCAGAAATATCCTATTGAGGCGGTGCTTATGCATGAGTATCTATTAGGTATCTACAGTTTTCAGTCCGTGCACATGTGTAATCCCCAATTTTTTTTTCTAGGTCTGGGTGTTCTTTGTGTCCGTTTCATGCATGTGTGTTAAGTCCCCCGCGACACAGAATATATTTCTAGCGTAAGAATTATCTTTTTAATAAAAAAATATGATTGCTATGCTGCAAACGTACGAATAATGAAAACTCTAACAAACAAAACGTAATGACCATTAATGGCTTTGACCTGGTTAGTTAATGCACGGACAGTAATAAGAGGAGCTGTTTAATCTAACAGCTACAGGCATTGATTAGGTAGTGTAAGTTACAAGGTTTAATTATGGCTGACCAATTATCCAGAGGTGTGTTGGTCTTTAATCGACGGCAGAGCATACGTATACCTAACTATAAGATAAGTCTGGAAAAATATAAACAAAGTTACCATAAACAAAACTAAAGTATTTTATCTTATCAGGCGAATGACTATCTCAATCAATCAATCATTCAAATTCTTAAAAAAACCCAAACCTACTTTAAGAAAAATCACCAAACTCCTAAACTTAACTTACTTGCAAGTCTTTGGCCGTTGAATAATTAATACAACTTGCGACTGCAAAACTCCAAACTCCTTGTCTGGATTAAGTCCTATTCAACTGTGCCAGAATGCTTCAATCTTCATAACACGTAATCATGATCTATTTTTAGTTTTCTTATCCTATTTTTCTTATAGTTTAATAAATGAATAAATATGGAGAGCCTACAATACGTGTCATGTTTCAGTCATATTGTCATTTAAATAATTTTTATTAGAATTTAATAGTTAATCTAAATGTTTTCTTTCTAACAGTTGATCTGCGAGTTGACTCTGTTACTCTCAGCGAGTGGCATCGGCATCTACTATCGAGCTTTGACCGAAAGGGCTCATAGGAACACCTTCGCTGGCACCAGGACTTGCCTCGAACAGCGAGTGAAGCTAGAGTGTGAGAAGGAGCAACAAGAAAGGCTGCTATTGTCGGTTATACCAGCGTATATAGCTGCAGAGGTATGTGGATTAGAATCTTAGAGTTTTTTTTGTGTACTTACATAATTTCAACTTTTTATAAACTGACTAAGTATCTAGAGGAGGTACGATATTCTACGAGCTAACGTATGGTCTAAAACAGATCCAGTTGCTCCTATAAACCAATTTATGACTCATGGTATGAAGCATAATAGTCATCACCTAACCGGGATGTAAGAAGGAAGGAGAAGATACGTATCTTCACATGTCACAGAAATGCCCAAAAGGAGTTAAATAAAAAACAGTTATTAGAAAGTAGTATTTATAGTACTGCCAATACTTACTTAAATTATGGCAATGGTGTAAAAAACATAATAATAATTGTCTAGGCATGTATTTAATCAGGTTTCACTAACAGGCAATCTCACTATTCTTATTAGTCTTTTTTTGAACAAGGTCCTAAATTTAAATCCCTAAAGGTATTTTTCATCTTTCTATTATTCAAACGAGATTCACTTCCAAAACTCATTTAGATTTATATGGCAGATAGAAAAATAAAAGGACTCAGCTCCATTGATGCCCAATTTCGTGGAAAAACTAATTTATCGAACATCTATTTGCGGTGTCTAGCTGCGGTAATGTGGTGATCGGATATTAAAAGAACCAACTTAATATATTGATCAAACAGGCATCGGCTCGTATGCAAGCAAGCACACTCTGTCTTCCCTTCTCATTGATTACTAAGGAAAATCAATCGCTCGATAGCAAAAATCATCATTTACTTTTTTGTGGAAATTTCTTATATACAAAAATTTTATACCGGTAATCGAAAGATTCTTATATAGTTATCAAAAATTAATGAAGGCTGCATATGAAGGCCCGGTAGATCATTATCTACCTGGCCTTCATATGCAGCCTTCATCACTGAGAGACTAAGAGAGGTTAGGCCATTGCCTAACCTCTCTTAGTCTCTCAGTGAACACACTGATCACTAATTCATATGAAATCGATACTACTTGATATCGTTCACCATTGGAGGGAATGATAATAATTTTAAGCAACTGTGTTATTAAAATAAATACGTATGTAATTATTTAAAAAACCACCATTTTGATTAAAAAAAAAAAAAAAACAATTTTGAGTATGTGGGATGATGTAAGGATTGAAAGACTACCTCACACTTCGAAATCTGTTCAGACAATTAGAAGGCGGGATAAAGAAACTCCTTTACATATCCACAGATCCGTACATTTACACATACATAAAGTTCTTGGAGTCCTGTAAAATATTATCCATAAGATAAATAAGCAAGTTTAAAATCTTAGAATTCTTTTGTACTTCATGTATCACAATTTTTTTATAGCTCTTGGTCCATAGTAGACGCTTTATAGGTTATTTCGGAAAACGTGAGGTGTAAAAATAATGATTCCATTGTTGCCAAGGTTACGCTGATAGAATATTTTAAGGACTAACATATTATCCATTGAAAGCGGGCGTTTTAAGGGTTGAGGTATTTTCATGTCCAACCATTTGCCGTACCTGAATGAATCATAAATAATTTAGTAGAAATGTGTTGTAAAAGTAAACTACGAATTAATAAGACAAACTCAAAATATCTTTATTTCATAAAAATGTTAAAATTGTATGAAATCGTCTGTTAAGTAGACTCTAAAGTCATAGATCAACACACACAATTGCAACAATCTCTGTTTTCTCAAATAGTAAGCAAAATAAATTTAATAAAAATTAAACTAAAAGCTATCCTTGTTTTTATGAACATTTATTACATTTTTATATAATAATAATAATAATAATAATAATATTCTACCACATACACACAACGCCATCTAGTCCCAAACTAAGCAGAGCTTGTACTATGGGTACTAGACAACTGATATAAATACATATATACTTTTTTGATATAAATACATATATACTTTTTTTTTTTGTAAATACATACATATTATACATAGAAACACCCAGACAAAATCAAACATCAAATGTTCATGCACACAAATGTTTGACTTGAGCGGGAATCGAACCCGCGACCTTTGAAATAGCAGTCCGTTACACAAACCACTACGCCATCCGGTCGTCAATATATATATTGAGTTCCCACTGTCATTACGTTTATTTCTTTTAAATTATTTCCTAATGAACAACGATTCAACAACAATCCCGAGATTGTCCTTGTCAAGGTAAGTTACCTTAGTTAATATATACTAAAAACAAAAAAGAGCCGAAAATAGACCCTCGTGGAACGCCCACTTCTACCACAGAGCCTGGAGACCGCTTACCATTAATTTTAACTTTCTGAATCCTATTATTTAGATACGAAGCAAGAATAAAAAAAAACAGTAATATTTTATATATTCAGACTGAGTGACATTTGGAAATATATGGAACGTTGCGGTATTCCCGGACTGATACGACTTTTAAGAAAAGAGCCTACTCCTTCCTCAAAGGCCGGCAACGCGTTTGTGACTCGTTCATGAGTTGCAGGCGTTCATGGTTGGCTGTGGTCACTTGCCATCAAGTGACCCGTATCCTCGCCTGCCCCCTCTTTCATAAAAAAAAATTGGAAGAGCCAACCGGATTGATGCTACGGCCATTATTTCACCTCACTCACTTCTATGTACTTCTACTCACTTCTAAGTATGGGATTCAAAGCGCTGCAACGCTCTTATGACTCTTAGCTGCAAGTGTCTATGGGCGGTGGTAGTCACTTAACATCAGGTGACGCGTCTTGTTGTTTGTAAGATAAAATGTTTTTTTTTTTAAATACAACTCTCTCATTAGGAATGTATCCTGTGTCGCGGGGGACTTTACAAACTTACATGAAACGGAGACAAAGAACACCCAGACTCAGAACAACAATTTGTGGATACACAAAGTGTCGCCCCATGTGGGGATCGGACCCACAACGCTCAGCGTAGTAGTAAGCGGTGTGGCGACCGCTTAAATCACTACGCCATCCGTGCAGTCATGATATACCTAGTTACATTTACAGGCTAATACTCTAATAATACTGAGAGGGTTTGGTTCGGGAAACACATTTTGTTAATGCCGGTAAATTCTTACCTCCGTTCAATTTTTAGAATATATAGGTATTAAGGTATGTTTATCAGCAGTCCGATTACCATAGCACAGGCTTTGCCTAATTTGGCATCCTACGGCCGAGTGTCAGATGTATCAATGTCCTCTATTATTATTCGTGGTAATGTTAGACTAAATCGTCACAGTATTATCATTTGTGTGCCCATCACTTTTCTATTATTGTTATAACAATAAAATCCACGAATGTTTAACGTGTAAAGTAGGAGAATCACGTTCTAAACCAGCAGTAACAAGTTTAGTCGGTCATTCGTTCATTTAACATGTACATATATGCGTTAAATTTGGGTACACGTGAAAATGTACTGGACACGAATAATAAATACTTGGGTGTTATTGAATATTGTACTTTATTACTAGATTGATTAATGTGACAATCGTACAGTTATCTACTACATGTTTTATTATAATTCATATAAAATCCTTGTGTAAGTAAATAATGGAAAAATATTTACATATCCTACTTTAATATACATATTAAAAAACAGACAAACAGATGAGAATGGGTTATTCATTACAGTATTTTGTACTCTCTGACGAGGGAAAGGTTGGAAAAATTTGTGAAACCAATAGCTTACATCAAGGTCAACATCTCACTTGTAAATACAAGAAACCTAAAATAATTAACGAATTGTTATTCTCCTAAAAAATGGTTAACAGTACTGGAACTGGACACCTTTTTTCATCAGATTTGAATGTTTTTCAGTATTAGATAATATATTCATTAGTGATAATTGTGGGATATGTAACAGTAAGATTTTTAGAAGCGAAACCATGGCTACAAATACAGCTGACAGTGAAGCTGCAGGGAACGGCTAGTATCTGATATAGGTATATGCGTTTTAATGAAATGTTAAATTAAATTTTTGAATGTAGTTACTCTTTTGAAGCATTGACATAGACAGTAACTTTATAAGTTTGCTTTTACAAAAAAATATCTCAAGACGATTATAACTATAAATTGTTGTCAATGTTGATGGCATTCCGTTAAGCTACAAGTGAAATGATAGTATCGTTTCAGAACGAAATAAAACAAATACAAAGTTATTCTAAACATATATACTTAACAAATCAAAAAATACAAATTATGAAGTTTTGTAAAACGAAAGTTTTCTGAGATTTTATGAAGATAACTAATTTTCTAAACTTAAATATTTCAGACTAACAGAATGGATGTACCCGCTTGTATAATTTGTAACAAGTCTGATCAAGATGTTTTTTTATGCCAGTGGGGGCAGACGAGCAGACCAGTCACCTGATGGAAAGTGACCATCGCCGCCCATGAACTTCTGTAACTCGGGAGTCAAAAACGCGTTGCCGGCCTTATAAACTAAGAAGGAGTACTCTCGTTTCTTGAAAATTTGAAGGTTTCCGGAAATACCGCAGACGATAACTTGTTCCACAGATTGGTTGTGCGAGGCAAAAGTGCCTCGAAAAGCAAAAAGCAACAACTTATTAAAGTGATTCAAGATTATAAAGCCATGTTAAACATAGTATGATAGATTAATTTTACACATTCTATACAAAACCGGACCGGACGACCGGATGGCGTACTGGTTTGTGTAACGGACTGCTATTCCAAAGGTCGCGGGTTCGATTCCTCCTCAAGTCAAACATTTGTGTGCATGAACATTTAATGTTTGGTTTGCTATGGGTGTTTCTATGTGTAATAAGTATGTATTTACAAAAAAAAAGTATATATGTATTTATATCAGTTGTCTAGTACCCATAGTACAAGCTCTGCTTCGTTTAGGACTAGATGGCGTTGTGTGAATGTGGTAGAATATTACTATTATTATTAAAATATGTAACAAAACAGTTATTAATTGCCTTTTTTCTATGATTGTCGAGCAATTTTCAATCTTTTTTATTTAGTAGTTGTAGACGAGGGACGCGGCTCGACAGTTGATGTTGGAAGATTAGATAATGCTAATTGGCTTGAGAACTTTTCTATCCTGACATAGGATTGGCAGTTACTCCGTAATTTAGTGTGCCTTCGTTAGATGGCACTGTAGTATAATAATATAATAACTTCACACATCTCACACACGGCCGTCTGATCCCAAACTAGGCAGAACCTGTACTATGGGAATCAGACTGCTGATAAACATACTTATAAATTTCTAAATACATACATAATATAGATAAATTACATCCAGACACAGAACAAATGATCGTGCTGACCACACAATTATTTGTCCTGGGTGGGAATCGAACCCACGACCTCCGGCTTAGCAGTCAGGGTCACTAACCACTAGACCAACAGGCCCGTCAGTATGTTTTTGCCTGTGTATGTGGAAGTGGACACAGTAGTTATTAGAAAGTTTCAGTGCCATTATTCGAGATAATAAAAATAAATATAATTAAAATGACACAGATAAGATTTTTATCTTATCTGTTTAAAAGTAAAGTGTACTTTTTTTATTTCCTGATTAAATGGTCTTTTAAGTTCTTCAAAATTCTGTGCAACATGAAAGTGTGGAAAATACACCACGCAGATAACCTGTGGGAGCAGCCTGTGGACTATTAAAAGCTGATGATGATGATGAAGGGACAAGCAGACGAGTCACTGACCTCATGAACACCTGCATCTCATGAGTCACAAGTAAGTTCCGCCCTTAGAGTTCCTCCCCTTAGAATCAGGAGGAAAGGGGGTTTGGGTTCCGGTAACCTTACTCACTTGATAATATTTTGCACATCTGACACACAACGCCATCTACTTTCAAACTAAGCAGAGCTTGTACTATGAAAACTAGATTGACTGATAGAATACTTGTATTTTTTTTTGTAAATACATACAAATACATGGAAAATACCAAAACATCGAAACAAATATTTGAAGATCATACAAACATTTGATCAGACCCGGGAATCGAACCCAAGCCCTCAGCACATCAGTCGCATACGTTACCACTGCACCACCGAGGCAGACACGGGATAATCATCGAAATATGTATGTGTATAGGGTGGTTATGTTTATATTATAAGACTAGCTGGTACCCGAGACTTCGCTCGCGTGGAATTTGAAAAGCGCTACCGTAGTGGGTTCGATTCCCGTGACTCCTTATATAGACAGCTACCTAATATCACATCAGGAACAAACAAACAGACAGACAAAAAATTTAAACTGGTTTTTAGGCGTAGGTATCATGCAAATAACCGTGTAGGTAAGCATTAAAAAACTTACTATTTCGACATTACAAACAGACACTAAAATTTTATTTATTTGTATAGAGGTGGCATTTCTTAAAAAGTTATATCCCGTATATTTAATCATAGTCATAGTAAGAGTCACGTATATTTCATAAAAACTATTAAGTACACGGGCACCTTTTTACAAATGTCCGTAGAAGAAGAAGAGAAAATACAATCGAATGAAAATTGACGATTTAGTTTGGCTCATGTGAACAAGTAATTTGATCGTAAACCAATTTAATCGCAAATCTGATCATAAGATTGTGTTGTGTGTAAACCGTTTGAGGGTCGTGTGATGTGACGGACTAATATTATATTTTTATTTCTGTCTGTGTTGTTACGGATTAAGTGTCAACACCCCTATTCATCCCGTTTCTGTTATGATGTTAAATTTTGATTTGTTTTTTTTTTTTTTTTTTTTTGTTTTTTTTTATTCACCTTTATTTAAGGGTAAAATATTAACGGGTCACAACTTCACCTGGGCTCAAGTTAAAGTGGTAGGTATGTCGGAATCGAAGTGACTTAAACCACACGGTGCTAGGTAATATGAGAGTCTACTGCGAAGAACTTGGATATAACCTTGATAAAAATGTCCCCGAGAACCCCTTCAGAACTTGGCCGTAATAGGCAGTCACACCAGTAAGTGTAGAGGGCCTTATACTTGTGTTTCATTATGTATATGTGTCCCAAAAATCAACACGGATTTTCAGTTTTAGAGATATTTGGAAAATTGATATTTCTTTTTTTCTGATTACGACTCGTATTATCCGTTACCGGTTCGTCGTCGATTACCGGGCCACCTTAAGGTTTAATAGTTAAAATAAAACTACATCATAAAAACATTAGCAATGTATTTTATCTTACACATTTGATAGTTTAAAACTAAATATTATTCTACAATTAAGGCTACATCAGTCACAATTGGTCATCATCCGCGAAATCAAGGACCTAGTCTGAGTTTCTATATTGATTTTATTCTTATAATAAAACAAGTGAAACCAGAGCAGAGAACCAAAACACGTCAAAAAATCTTAGCAGCCATAGTAATTATTCTACTAATAAAGTATTTGAGATCGCGAATATTACCAGCAGCTTAACTATAACCAAAGTTTATTTTACAGCGACACTAAATTCTAAAGATTCTAATAAACTTAAATGCATATCTAATCGGAATGATATTGCTAACTATTACCTAGCAGCACATTGAGCACTGTGTTGATCACGATGTCTGTATTCTCGTACCTCAGCATCAACCCTTACTCCAACATCGAGCAAAGGGGTAAGAAAAGGCAAAACATACATCTTTCTTGTGTTCAGGAACTCAGGATTCAGCGTAATCTTTTCTTAAGAGATCTGAATCCGACTTGCCGATATTTACATGAATTGTTATGGCTTCATCGTTTTCCGATTTCATAACGACATCATTCCATTGCACTTCAGCTTTCTTGCCATATGCTTCGTTCTCTATCAAAATTGCTGATTTGGTACATAATGCCTTGCTTTGGAACTCGATTAGAGCGCAGTAGTCACTTTTCTTCGTCTCAGATTTAATGTCGGCGATATATCCCAACTTCCTTCTCATAACTTCGACTCTGACGTGGTAGTTGTAGATGCAAACCTTAATGATAAAAGCACTTTTTTGATGGAGCAGGATAATCTTGTATTTGGTTCTGCAGCAAGCGGTTTTCTTCAACTTTGTCTGGAAATTCTCTATCAAGATCTTGATCTTTTGTGAATATACTGCGATGATGCTGTGGTTGGTTTGAAGATGTGATGATAGCTCTTCGAATGGAACTGAGCAGCAGTTAGCAGTGATGGGACAAATCATTGTGTCAAATTTGCACTCTTCTTCGTGCTTGACTCTTGTGACGGCTGTCAGAAGGTCTGTGCATCCGCGTCTGTTGGCAAAGAAAACATTTTTTATTAGAAAACCGATAGACATGTTTTATGTATGTGTATGTATATAAATTATCGACATTCTTCAAAAGTGATAATATCAAAAGAATTTGCCGATAGGTTTACATTATAAGGGTGATTTCAGTGGCGAATAAACGAGAATTTATTCGCCACTTAAATTTCACGATTATAATAACGTATAAAAAGTTTACGATAGCTTTTAAAATTTGCAACGGTCATAATATGAATATGTCATGAATTGTTACTGCAGTAAATAACTGAGTAACCTTAGATATATATTATTTATAAATATTTATCAGCAACAGAATAAATATCATAGGAGAGCCATGGTTCAGTAAATATAGGCCAGCTCAACCGGAGTCACGTAAAACCAGTGTTAACCAACTCTTTCGGTTCTTTTCACTGAATGAATATAGTTACCGGAGGCTTAACCCCCTCAAAGGAGTACCTAAAGCGCGACAACGCACTTGGGTCTTTTGAGTTACAGGTGTTATGAGCGGTGGTGGTCACTTATCGTCAGGTGACCCGTTTGCTTATTTTCCCATATGCCACAAAAAATATACAAGCAAGGTATCATCATCATCATCATCAACAGCCTTTAATAGTCCACTGCTAGACAGACATAGGCCTTTTCTAACAAAGGAGGGTTTAGCCTACTATACCACGCTGGTTTGACGGGTTGGTATAGGGTTTTTTTCAAGTTTTCCTTCTTTTTGCAGTTTCATTTTTAAAGCTTACACAAATCAAAATATAAACAAGTCTATCGATTATGTTGCAAAGTGAATCCATACTGCCATATTTATATTACAAATGTCAAAGTGGTTTGTTGTTAACAACCAAATTGGATTCAAACAGATCTGTTTACTTAAAAATGAAATGTTTTTTTCTATCTTTACGATTCAGCTTATTGTAAAAAAAATACAATTGTTTAAAATATTGGCTTATTGACTTTGATTGGATAGATTACGAGTGTCGATTATTAATCGGGCGATGACGATTTTGTCAGGCGAATTAGTAGTGAGAATTATTCACATGTTCACCATTGATAAACTCACTTATTCGATATCTTTTCTCAATATAGAGATAGCTTAACACTCAAACAAGAACAAATAAATTACTTAAAGTTGACAACGTAATAAAATAGTCCCGAAACGATAAAACCTTAACTTTGTTCACCGTTTACGATTTATTTGTAAGAAAGTTGTTGTTTATTGGACAAACAAGTGTGTTGGTATCAAACGTTTGCTTTATTAGTTGATTTTATTATTTTTTTATAGCATCCGAGAGGATACGAGTAATTGGTAAAGATTTTTTTTTTTTTTTTTTTTTTTAATGATTAGTATCTTGTACAGTTTTATCAATAGTTTTAGGCTACATTATCTTGTGAACATTCGCGGTTATTAAATATAATTGATAGTGTTTGCCCATGGCTTCACCCGAGTGTATGTGGGTTATCGCGGCAAAAAGTAACTCCATGCCAAATTCTATTTAAAATCAGTTCGACGGTTTAGCCCTGAGAGCGTAACAGACAGATAGACAGAGTTACTTTCGATTAGAGTTAATTAATAATATTAGTAGGGATTTCTAACGCACTGCTATGTAACCTGCCTATGACCACGGCTATTGCAACGTGTTCGAAACTTCAGGCAAAGACGAAAGTTTTAAAGTAAAGCCATGGTTACTCTACCTCTTCAAAACAAACAACTCAACAATGGTAGTAGCTTATATGATCGTCTATAAAATGAAAACTTCCCTTGTAGGGTAACTCTATTTTAAGCAGATATCTGCTATATATAGCTTTTTTTATCCTTAATACTATCTTACGTAATAGTCTATATTTTAATATAAATTTGTCACTCATTCACAATAATTAAAACAATAAATATTATAAATTCCGTGTGATGACAGATTAAAAATAGGGGCTGTCACAATCCCTATTCATCCCATGGGTGTCGTAAGAGCCGACTAAAGGGAGCAATCTACGTAGATCAACAGCACTGCAAGGAGAAAGAAAACTTGACACAAACTCTGGCCAGCATGGTATGCGAAAACCTCCTTTTTAAGGAGAGACCTATGTTCAGCAGTGGACTATTAACATCTGTTGATGATGATGAAAATAATAAATAGGTGTATTATTTCAAGGTATTGACGTAATTACATATTAAATACAAAACATTAATTAAGAAACATAAATACGCACGAACGAGATACGGGATCTTTACTGTGTGACTTTAGGCATAAAATAGGCAGTGTGAACACTTGACATTGACTTTTAACAAAATGTAAATAATTAAAAGGTCATTGTTATTCTTCCGGATGTAAGTCAAGGTCAGGTCTTGATCCGGTAGTCCTCAGACATTGTACTGCACATATAAGGCATATAAGGTCAATATAAAATAAACATTTTTTCATTTGGCTTCATAATTTATTAACTTGTACAAACAGTATTTTCGACTTCAATGCGCGTAAATTGTGTCTTAGAGGTAAATTTTTTTTTAAATCTTACCATCCTTGAGCCCACACAGAGTATACGAAAATGATTATTGAAAAAAGATATATAGTTTTAAAAAAATCTGAGTCGATCCTTCCCCCTTTTAAAGATTATTAAAATTGGTATGGTGAGTGAGACAATTGGCTCTGGGCAGTAAGTAAGATTATAATTTAATCTTCGCCAAACAGTAAGCTATGGATTTTTTTGCCATCTCAATTGTTTAAAAGGAGACTTAACTAAGTCAAAGCCAAGCTTATATCTGTATGATTTAGAGCGCTGGCAGTTCTTAGATCGTGCCCCTTTTCTGATGGTGTAAAGAGTATATATATATACCTATACCAACCCGTCTGGCCAGCGTGGTATAGTAGGCCAAAACCTCCTTTCTAAGGAGAGGCCTATGTCCAGCAGTGGACTAGTATAGGCTGTTGATGAGAAAGAGTATAAGGTCGCTATTCAAATCTCCATTTGCCTAAAGTCTCTAATTACTATGTGAAGTTACGGGCGAATATGCTACGTAAAATTTTCGGGTATTTCGCTCTTGTATTTCGCTTGTATCATTCGACTTTTGAACTACTACATTTACAACATAGAAAATGTCTCATTCAACCTACCTATAATTCCGACACGGTAACATGAGATCATTGATCAATCTCTGGAGTGCTAAGCACGGCGCAGCAGGAGATCTCAACGCTCCCCGGCACCACGCACACCTGGACATGCGTCTTGAACACCTTGCACACCAAATGCCGCCGCACCAAGGGCAAACGCATGGTCCGCAGCACTGAAATGATAAAAAAAAAAAATTGCACTTCAAAATCAAACACATAATTTATACGGTTTACCCATTGTTATCAATTTACTACTAAACCACAGTGCACTTTCGAACGTCATTATTATTATACAAATTACCTATACAAATAGTAATCATATTTAAAAAAAACCGGTCAGGTACGAGTCGAACTCGTGCGCCGAGGGTTCCGTACCTGCCCAGATTTTACGTAGATTTTCGCGAAAATTTACCAAGTTTATAAGTAAGAAAATTTATCTTATCAACTTTTTTTATTTTTTTTTAATTATTCCTTTATTTGTGCTGGAAGACGTTTCATTTTGCTAAATTTCGTGATTCTAGGTCAACGGGAACTACCATATAGGTTTTCGACCCAAAACCTATAGGGTACTTCCGGTTGACCTAGAATTGTCAATTTTGGTTAAAATCAAGGTCTCAGGGCACAAGAAAAGATAACCATTCTGAAAAATAAAAAAAGACACACGACACAAAAAACACGGACAGACGGACAGACAAACAAACGGACAGACGGACAAGAAAGTGATTCTATAAGGGTTCCTTTTTTACCTTTTGAGGTACGGAACCCAAAAAAACGACACACTAAAGAATATGCCCTTGATGATAAAATTATAAATGAGTATCAATAGTGACTCAAGACTCAACTTTGAAAACTTCATCGTGTAGTGTCTACAATGGCGTAGTTACACTTCCAAAGCGACGTTTATTTAAAGAACGTGCGAGGACAGGCGGCATGTTTCTTACCATGTCAGTAATTAACTATTAGAAACGTTAATGTTGAACACGCAAGGGATGTAATTACTGCGCGCTAACTTAGATGGTATACTTAGACGGTATCGAGCAACAAACTACTTAAGGTTTCATACTAAAATAAGTTCTACAAATTTTAATACCACAGTTTATCGTCATCATCTTTAAGATTTATACTCTCGATTATCGGAATTGTTGAAAAACATTATTTAAAAAAAATCACTTATACTTATATTCCATTATTTAATTAAACTTGACATGACCGATTTCGCCTTGTGGTATTATCAAAGGTCACTAAACAGTAGTAACAGTAACCTTTGATAATGTCATGAGATTACTATTTAAAAACTTAAACAGTACCTTTGTATGTTAAATTAAAGATAGGGTTGTCTAGTGTTGGCGCGACGCCATGGCTATGGCGTAGATAGCCATGGCGATATATATATAGATAGATATATGCCATAGATGCAACGAAATAATTGCTTTTCTATGATGTCGTACTATCTGAACACGTGGTTCGGATAGTTCGGATAACTAACCTTTTCCTAACCTATCCTTCAGTACGAATATAAAAGTTTTAATAACGGGCGCTGATTGTTTAATAAAACTAAAGAGTTTCTTCACGTTTTATTGAATAAGGTGAGGTGAGGTACTTGTGATAACTGCATATAAACACATGTATAAATGTACTAATAAATAAATTATTCTAAGTAGGAATAATAACATTTTTTTTCTAATAATGGACCACGATGAAATTCAATGTACAGTCTGGCTAACATAGTTTGTTTTTGGAATAGAGAGGGATTGCACAAACGCCTAGGGCTATAGATAGATTAAAGGTCTTATAAACAGATTAACTTGAACATTTCCTTTGAAGAATCCAATTTATTTATAGAACACTAGTTTTTACATGTAGGTTTGTCTTTTTTCAATATTTTTTTCTATACGATACGATACATGTAGTAGTTTACGCCATCCGTCCTCATAAACATTCTCATTAATAATATTTATGAGATTATTACACAATTGTGATAAATTCATCGTGCCGAGGTAGGGCGCGCGTACTAGTGAGACTGCTGAGTTAATATTGAAAATGATTACAATTCACGGTAGCGCCTTAGTTGTGATATAAACTTATGTAATACGCATGGGTCTGGTGATTTAGAAGGAGGAGTGTGTTAGGAGTTAGTTTAGGTGGAACCGGACACACTCAGCGCAGCCGTGCACAACTATTGTGCTGCAGAGTTCGTTTATAACAAGCAAGTTTATAGGGCGGCAACCCACTTGTGACTTTTGAAAATTAAGTGTATTAAAAAAATATACAGATACAGATATAAAAATTTCGCGCTGGTACTGCGCTGTTTTTTAAGCATCATTTTATAATAAATATATACGTTCATATTATATACATATACTCGTAGACTGACTGCACAGATAACGTAATGGTTTAAACGGTCACCTCGCTGCTTCCTACTACGCTGAGTGTTGTGGGTTCGACCCTCACATAGGACAACACTTTGTGTCCGTAATCCACAAATTGTTGTTCTGAGTCTGTTTGTTCTTTGTACTTTCATGTATGTCTGTAAAGTCCCTCACGACACAGGATATATTAGTAAATAAAGGAAAGAAAGAAAAGAAAAGGAATATTTACCTGTAATGGTTCTAGACATATGCTGCATTCTGAGAATCTGGTCTGTACCTCGTCACAGTTAGGACAGGTACATTGCGCTGCATGGCCTTCCTCTGGCGCGTCCAATGAGGCTGGTTGTACCAGTGACAGCGATTTATCTGTGACCAAAAGAAATTATTGTTAAATATAGAGAGCAATTTAAAAAATATGAAGATTTTTACTTACTTTCAGTTTGTAACCGAAAATATTAAAATAGAGGTGTGAACATATATATGACTAGATCAGGCATCGACTACAAATAAGTCTTGAATATATCTTATAATTGTTTTGAGAAGTTTTAATTGAGGTTTCGTTTAAACATGAAATGAAGAAAAACTTTGTGAATTTGAATCTTCAATGGTGTTTCAATAGAACAAAAAAATAAAGAACATTTTGCGGTGAAAGTCTATGGTGTCAGTCGAAAATTAAAAACGATATCACAATGAGTAAACAGAACATTTCACCGAAAACAAATTATTAAATACCGCATACGGTCAAAAACTGCAATGTAATTAATCGAACATACAAAGCGCACGGGGCTTTTATCTTTGACATTAAAATTACTAATTATTAATTGAAATTACCTTTATCTTTGACAGGTGATTGCATAAAAAGTTTATTTTTCCGGCAGAAAATTCCAATAATTTTAGACTCAGAATGATGGTCTGAATACACTATTTCAGTATTCGTTACGATGTCTCTTACACCGTGTATTATTATAACTATCTATTTGATTAACAGTTAACATTACTACCTATTATTTAACTATTACACGTAACACGTACGTTTAAAAAGTACTAACTATCAATTTGCTCCATTGAACTTGACTGTTCATTCTACGGTACGTACCACAGATACACAGAGAGATATTAATTATTTAGGTAATCAGATTTTTTAGAGCGTGAGTATAAAGAAACGTCTTTTCTTTGTTACGTCATCATAATAGTAATAATGTGAGCTAACATAATTTCGTTCGATGTGCCTTTTCATTTCTTTCACTTGTGAAGTCATCTATTAATGTAATATTTCCTATGACAAAGATTGGATGGATAAATGTTACTCAATCAAGCCAGAACTCCTAAGCAGATCTAGATGGAATTTAACATATAGGTAGATAGATTATAGTCTGGAATAGTATATAGGCTACTCTTAATGCCAACGATCGAAAAACATCGACAACAAAGCAATGATAGTCCTAGATTTGTTTTTTAAGTTTGATTTATATAATCGGAGGAGATAATACATTTTATTTGCGTATAAAATTAGCAAGCCCTTAAGATATTGTCGAACAATGAAAAGATATTTTTTATCTAGAGTGTGCAGTGCAAGTTAAAGTGGGTATTCTAATCAGTGAGTTGTATTACGATTACCCTTGATCGCAGTACATGTCAATATTTTATTTATTTATGAATCATTTCTACTTACTGCTTCATTTAATAATATTAATATAAATTTAAAATAATCTGAGATCTTTGATTATCTGTTTATAATATATTTGTATTATTAAATAATATACTTTAACTATTAACGCAAACGATATATGTAAAGTCAACACTTATTAGCACCAAGTCAATACATGTAAAGATTTACATAGTCACTGAGATCAGTCTTTATTTCTTTTAGTTACAGCATCAGACTAAACTAATATAATAAAATAATTATACAGTCTATGGCTGAACACCTTTGATCAAGAACACCTGAGCTGACACAAATTCACAATTGGCATCTCTATACATTTCCTCACGTACTGCTATCTCTTGAAATCATTATCCTCTTATTAGCTTCTAAACCCTTTGTACGATTTGTTGTGGATTGCATATTTTTAGGGAATAGCAAACATTACTTGTGCTTAACTTTGGAAGGCAATTTTTGATGGTTATAAAAGCAAGTTACGGCTCTTAGAAGCATAGGAGCCTACAAAGAGCTTATGAACTGCAAGGAACGATTTATCCTCATATCGATACATAAATACTCACTCACATCATTCAAACACAAAGTCGGCTTAACTTAATTGTATATTTTAGTATTATGTTATATTATCAGAAAGTAAATCACTTCAAACATTTATTGACAATACTATTAAAACACAAGGTTATCAAATAATATCGAAAAAAAAACAGATGCGATGACATCACTGCTATTATTTTTTCCCGACTGCATCTGAGTCTGAATTTCTAATTTCAGACTCTGAAATTAAAGTTAAATATAAAAAATATTTGACGGGCCTGTGGGTCTAGTGGTTAGTGACCCTGACTGCTAAACCGGAGGAGGAGAGGGTTTAATTTTTTTTTTTATAAACTTTATTCACATTTGAGTTACATTTTTTTTACTGTTCTAACAGTTTGTAGACGTTCCGCTCAATTTATAATAAACTCAGTACTTAAATGCTAGTTTTTAAATATTTTTATATTGAAGTGATGAGCACGATCGATTGTTCTGTGTCCGGGTGTAATTTATCTATAAAGAAATAAATAAGTAGGTTTATCAGCAGTCTAGTTACCATAGTAGAGGCTCTGCTGTGTGTGAGATGTGTAAGGTTATTTATTATTTAACCTCAGCATAACGCGATTGTTGTAACCTCAACATGACATGATCGTAACGTAAATGTCACTAAGTCATAATAAGACTTAGGCTATTTTTGTTTTTCCGTTGAAAACTCTTAAGTCAAGACTAAGTACGTATAACTTATTTGTTTTGAAATTATAATGATCACAACCGATTAACAACTTTATTTTATATAATCACGTTGTTTTTATTATTATTAGTATTAACCAAATAATTCGATTTATTAGTAATTTTGTAATGTAAAAAAAACAATTATTTTAAAAATCATTTAAAATAATATTTTTTGACGGATTAAGAATACAGAGTGTCGCCACCCCTATTCATCCCGTGGGTGTCGTAAGAGGCGACTAAGGGAAAAAAACTACGCAGGACAACAGCACTGCAGAGAGAAGGAAAACTTGACACAAACCCTATACCAACCCGTCTGGCCAGCGTGGTATAGTAGGCCAAAACCTCCTTTCTAAGGAGAGGCTTATGTCCAGCAGTGGACTATTAAAGGCTGTTGATGATGATGATGATGAATATTTTTTACGTCAATGACAAACACAAATAATGCTATGGAATCAATATTATTTATTATTGAGTGAGTTTCAAGATCTGTCAGCTGTTTGCTTGGTCATCATCAATATTAAATATCTGGATTCGGATCAGAATTCTAAAGGAGACGGATCATAATCATTCGAACTTGATGTTCTAAGTAATAATAGTAATTGGGATTGATATACATATACATCATATTGGATTGATATACGAATTGAATATGGAATTGATATACATATGTATATAACACCTAAACACACACATATGAATAAAATATTTAATGTTTTATCTAAATACTAGTTTCATCTGTGTATCTCAAAAGGAATAAATTTACTCATTTTTTGCAACATTTTGCAATGAGGCTCCTATGGGTCGTTGCGTGATGTTATTCAGCCTTCCTCGATAAATGGCCTATTCAACAGATTTTTCCAATTCGAACCAGCAGTTCCTGAGATTTACGGGTTCAACCAAACAAACAAAGTCTTGACCTTTATAATATTAGTATATATACTTATGATGAAACCAGTATGTGAGGAGTATTTACTCGTTTTCTTATAAACGAATGATATAGCTGGACAAATAAGCTTAAATGTATGTATGTATATGTATGATTGTATATGTGTGTATTTAAGATGTGTTGTGTTGTATATGAGTATGTATAAGTTTGTCTAGTAGCGAACCGTTACATATATTGCCTTAATTACTTAATATATTAAGACGTAACCTTTGTGCACCTACCTTACAAGATTTCTACACCACCCAAAGGTTAACTGGAAGAGAATGCCGTGGGCATTAAGTCCGCCGATGTACAAAAGTGGATAAAGTTAAATAAATAAATTCAAAAGAATGGGAATATTGCAATTTAACGGGCCTGTTGGCCTAGTGGTTAGTGACGCTGACTGCTAAGCCGTAGGTCGTGGGTTCGATTCCCACCCAGGACAATTATTTGTGTGATGAACATGGTCGTTTGTTCTGTGTCTGGGTGTAATTTATCTGTAATATGTATTTAGAAATATATAAGTATGTTTATCAGCAGTCTGGTTACCATAGCACAGGCTCTGCCTAGTTTGGGATCAGACGACCGTGTGTGAGATGTGTGAGTTTATTATTATTATTGCAAAGTAACGGTGTAATAAATAACTATGTCGAAAGAGAAAGGCATCACCCAAATCGCCTAAAGGAATTCTGACAAATTAAGTAATGACAGAAACCAAGCACTGCGATAAAGTATCAAGGTTAAACACTTCCATATGCAACTGTCTTTCAAAACGTTTGCCATAACATCGAACATGTAATTTCAATCGAGTCAAAAATAACAGATCGTACTAACGCATATCTGCTGAAGTCGTGAAAACGAATAATAGGATACCCAAACCCTACGGGTGCACTTGTAGCCATTGAAGAGTTCCAGTGTCCATATCTTGCTTCTATCATCGAATTAGCTCCAGGATCGCATATTGTAGTTTTGCCATCTAGCCTACATAATCTACAATACGGAATGTCACCACCCCTATTCATCCCAAGGGTGTCGTTAGAGCCGACTAAGGGAGTAAACTACGCAGGAAAACAGCACTGCAAAAAGAAGGGAAACTTAAAACAAACCCTATATCAACCCGTCTGCCAGCGTGGTATAGTAGGCCAAAACCTCCTTTCTAAAGAGAGGCCTATGTCCAGCAGTGGACTAGTAAAGGCTGTTGATGACTAGAAGTGTAAAAGTTGTATTTAATAAAAAAAAGGACTGACAGTCATATAAAGATCACTAAATATTTGACCGTGAAATGTATAAACGTCAGAGTGTCTTGTATAATATCATGAGTAAGAAAGGAAACGTAGCTTACAGGTGAAATAATTGTGAGTCAGTATTCTTACTCAATAAGGAACACAAAAAACAGGTATTACGTCTTTATCTGCCATATATTTGTCTGTCTTGATAACACTGATATTAAGAGTTTATCACTGTTGATAAATTACGTGTTTGATGACATCAGGTCAAATTATTACGTAGAGATAATAG